CCTGCTTCGTGAACTTGTACGTGGCATTTTAATACCTTTCACAAATGACAGGATCTACTGGCTCATCTTTCACGTACAATGTGATCCAAAACAGCTGTGGTACAGTGTAGGCAACACAGTATAGCCAGCATAACATAGTGACTAAGGTCATGAGTTCCAGAGCCATACCGTTTGGGTTCAAATGCTGGTTCAGTTGCCTATCAGCTGTAACGTTGATGAGTTATTTAACCATTCTTTGCCTCAGTTTCTCCCCCTGAAGAATGGAATGATAACAAAATCTCATTGGACTGTTGTTAGGATTAAATGAGTTAATGCTTGAGCTTAAAACATATTACTCAAAACATGTCAGATACTAGCATTGTTATTTTATAAAGGGAATGATCTAGGTCCTAGACTCAGTTCTGTTAACTGTGTGACCTTCAGCAAATCAGTTAACCTATCGGGGTTTCAGTTTTCTGCCTATAAAGTAAGGTTTACTATGTAACTTCCATGGTTTCTTTTCCTCTTTAAAATTCTATGATTCAGGGTTCAATATTTGTTCTACCCACATGCACATTACAATCTTGTCTATAATTCTAATTTTTCAAAGATTGTTTAAAACTTATTCTATTAACAAGCAATTTTGAGGACCCTCTAGTAATGACCACTTTGAAGTACAATATAAATAATACTGCATTTACTCAGGAAACTAAACATTTTTTATTCACATCTGGTCAGCAAACATTTACAACTCTTACATATCCGAAGAGATGCCTTTTCAGGTTTATGAAAACTTAAAACTGTATATTCATTTTTTAAACCCATGATAAATTTGCTTATTAGAGTAGGAAAAGATCTTCCAAAAGTGAAGACAATATTTCACCTCAAATTTTACCAAAGATCCCCAGTGTTAAATAAAATCCACTGTTGAGGGTCACGTTTAAAATTTTTTTCTATTTTTTTGCTTAAGCATATTACACACAATATTATAAAAATGTGATTCTTTAAATTGGCTTCATAACACCATCATGTGGACGTAGTTTATTTTACACTGGTTTATAAATTGTGGCATTTCATTTTAGTTTGATGTTTTGTATTGCTTCTTGACAATGGGACAGATAAAAAGATCAAACATACTAAGGTGACCAGTTAGTATGTAGAATGTACAGTACGTGGAATTCCTTTTAAAAAGTTTTTCATTTTCCTATCCTTTTCCTGTCACCCCTATAATCAAGCTGCTACAATCCCTTAGGACCTATGCAAATGTTCCATTCAATATTTTTACAGTAACAAATTTATCAATTACTGGATCTACTACAAACTTAACTTTTAATTCTGAAAATAGATTTCAGTCACTCATTTGTTTTTCCAAAAGCCTATCTACGAAACTTTGTTTTTCAGGGATCCGAAAACTGGCAAGCTAACTACGAAGTGGATCTTGGGGGTGTGTGTGGGGGGCGAGAGATGGAGATAAACAAAGCAGAGGGGCTTCTTCTGTCTTAAAATTTTCATATTTGCTTCTGGAGCAAGAATTCTATCCTAGGCGTCGGGGAGAAGGCGGGGGAGGTGTCTCTCCTGCCCCCGAGCAGCGGCACACGGGTTTGCTGAATTTGACAGACCACTGCGATCTTGGGGGATTTTCCAAGCTGGAAGAGAGCGCCGACGAGAAAAAGTGCGTACAGCCCACGTGACCCAACTTCACTTTCAGGTGCCAGAAGCGGAGCGCAGCTGCAATCTATACCGATCTTCCACCAACTAGGTTGTATTCCTCCCAAGGACCTGCTAAAACCCCCGAAGTTCTGAGAGACACACTTCGGAAATTGTTGCGTTAAAAAAAAAAAAAAAGTTCCACTTGTACCATTTATAAATGCGCTGACAACTTTTTCGGAATCACCACGATTTACGGCTTACGCATTTGCCAAGCCTTTTCCTCCAGTTCCCTCCCTTGCTTTTCCAAGCCTCCCGTTTCGGTTCCACCGAAAGAAGAAAAGCGATAGCAACAGTTTGGTTGCCCAGCAGCCCGTCTCCCGGGCGCAATCACCGCACCAGGAGCCTCACACCTCTCGGCCCGCGAAGCCCAGGACTTCGGCTCCCAGTCCGCCGGGGACGTGCGGGAGTACGGCCGCTTCGAGACCCGGGCCGCGGTCCCGCGCCACCCGCCCCGGCTCCCTCCCCGCGCCCGGCCGCAGAGCGTCGCCACCCCACCGTCGGGGGCGCCGGGCTGGGCGCATGCGCGCAGCGCTCCCGGGCGTGCCGGCCACACTCCCCCCACCCACTCCGAGAGCTTGTCACTTCCTGCCCTCGCCCCATCTCCGTCCGGGGTCAGTCAGTCGCTCCCTGTCGCAGCCGGCGAGTCTCTGCTTCCCCCTTCCTATCCGCTCCGCGGCGGCAGCTCAGGCTCTTCGTGGAGGGGCAGACAGAGAAAGAGAGAGACTGACTTAATAAAGTTTCCTGAAACAACAACTATCACCAAAAAGAGCTCAAGGCGGGGGAAACCCCCATCCTTCCCCGCCCCTCTCCAAAAGCCTGAGGGACCGTCGCAGGTGGAGCGGCGCTGGGGGGGAGCCGGGCTCCGGCGGCAGCCGTTGCCCTGGCAAGGGGCGCCTCGGGTCCTGCCCGCTCCCGTTCCGGCTCCTTTGGTGGCGGCGGCAGCGGCTGCGGGGCGGTACCTCCTGTCAACTGCCTGCGCCCGCGCGCCGTCAGCCCGCCCGCCCAGCTCCACAGCGCGGAGGGACGCCGTGAGCCGCCGCCACAGCCGTCGCCTCGGGCCGCGGAGGGACGTGGTGAGCTGCGGCGCTTCCGCGTCAGCACCGGCGGGGAATCTTTGGGAGCGCGTCGGGCCCGAACCCCGGCCCCTTCGCTCGGTCCGCCGAGGCTGCGCCAGGTGGGGCCCGAAGCCGCCTCTCACGCCAGGCTGTCCCCGCGGCCGTCCGGCCTGCCTTCCTTCCTTCCGCCCGCCCGTCGGCCCGCCCTAAGAGTTCAGTAAGTTGGGCGCACTTGGTTGGGGGGACGGGGGTCCAGCCGGGGAGACCCTGGCGCACGTGCGTCGCGGGAGGGCGCGACGTGGGCCGGCCGCCGGCGGGAGCTACACCTCGGCCGCCCGGCCGCCGCGCCCCCCGCCCCACGGGCCCCGGCGCCGGCCGTGCCCGCTGCGCTCCGCGCCTCCGTCTCCGCGCGCGCCCGCCCGGGAAGGCGAGGCCGCCACCACCGCCGCCGCCCGCGCAGCCGGCCAGGCCCTTGCCCTGCGCGCCCGGGGCTGCGTTTCCGGGTAGGGCGATGAACCTGTGCGGGAGTTCGGGCTGAAGAAGCCTTCGTGCGTTTTTCTTTTTCAGTTCGAGAGGAGAGTGCAGGGCTGTGGAGGGCAAGCGGAGGGCAAGCGGAGGGCGGGTGAGGGGAACGTTTCTGGAAAATGCAGCCAGAATCCCCCCAGGAAGTTCAGGCTGAGTGACGGGTTTGTGCTTCTTTCAACAGCCAAGCCGCAATGAAGAGCTTCTTACAGTGAAAGGAAAGTAGGTCGCGCCCACTGAAAATGCCTTTAAGGGACAAATACTGTCAGACTGACCACCATCATCACGGATGCTGTGAACCAGGTATACGCCTTTCTTCAGTTAGTTTGCCCTCCACCAGAGCCACTCTGCCTTCTGTTTTCTTTTACTTCTCCTTACCTCCTGCCCAAGAAGACTTTCCTAACTAAGCAGGCTATAATTTCCCCCAGCATAAAACCAGTTATGAAGCTAAAAGCTTGTACAAACAAGAGATCTCCCCTGCTTGATCTCTTAAAAAAAAAAGTATTGCAAGTGTCACCTTAAATCTTTTCCACAAGATCAATTACTCAATCCCCTTTCCTTTTCTTTCAAGGCAGCCTGCAGTTAGTAGTATACCCTCATGCTCTGTGAATGTTTAAAACTGAAGAGAAAGGAAAAAAATGGGTAGTAGAATACTGGCATTTATCTTCGAGGAAGCTGTTTCATGTAAATTTTTAAAAACTAAAAGTTTCTCATGCTTTGATAGTGCTTAAAGACAGAATAATGCTTAAACTTAAAAATGAGTTTAGTTTGGGCTAAGAAAAGTTTGCTGAAGTCAACTTGTTGGAAGAATCAGCTTTTGTTAAGTGGCACCTCTTAAAGAAATTTCTTGGACAGAACACATTGTTGCAAAATCTGAATAGGTAGAATACATAAATATTTTTAGGATATTTGTTCAGTGGAACTCTTTTGAGTTGATTTTATGAAATGAGGAAGTTGCTTTTTGAAGTCTCATGAAGAGTATTACAGCACTTTAATAAATGTGATATATAAACTCCTATTAGTTTCTCTGCTTATTAGAAGTATGATGTGTTTTGTCACAGACATTTAGAGGTACAGCTTAAAAAGGGAATCCTTGAATACACAGTCACTAAACCAACTAAGGGCTCTTCTGTTACAGTTCAGAGGCAGTTGTTTATCATTATTTTTGACCTAAAAGTTATTAGGACTTTTTAATACTTTTGCTTGTTTTTTTTGTTGGAGTATTTTAACTGCACTAATGTACTTGGTTTTGTCACAGTAGAGTTCATGTAAAGTAGAGTACTTTTTTTGTATAATGGGAAAAAATGGCAGTGGTAAAAGGGGAAGAACTATTTTCGGAACACTTTGGTACACATGAGAATAAAATTTGTACTATGACCGTATCCCCACTGATTTGCCGAAAATAATACCTCTGCTAGTAAAACAGGCAATCCCAGGGTGGAATCCAGTGTTTATTCAACTGTTCCCTGATCTACCTACCTTTCACCATCCTTTCTGCTGCATATTTTGTATCTTTGAAGTGATGATATATCACTTAACGTTTTGCCGAATGTTGAATGGATTTTGCTAGTTTTGAAGTAGAAAGCTGTGAATGACTTCTTATACTTGTGTTCCACTGTCTTTTTATTCCATTTTTTTTTTTTTCTGAGAAGTCATTTGAGTTGCATTAGTTAATTAAATCATCATATTAAAACTTCTTTTTTAGGAAGAAATTTATTTGGTCACTCATTTCTTTATTTCTTTGACAAATCTTTATTGAGCACCAGTTAGGTGCTAGGCACTATTCAAGGCAATGGGGATATAAGTGGTGAACAAAACAGATAAGCTCACCCCCTCATGGAACATTTGAGTGGGAAGAGATAGACGTAAGTAAACAAGAAAGATAATTTGTGACCATACCTTATTTATAAAGTATATATTCTGGTAATTAAAGTTTTCTAGATACTTTAATGTCTTTTTAAAGAGGTTTTCCAGAGTTGAACTTTTAAATATGTGTTGGAACTTTTCTGCTGCTTTTTCTCCCTCATTAACACAAATTCAGATAAGTTGCATTAATTGAAAAATGTCAACTTTATTTTGCCAGGAACTTTTCCCATGCAACTTATTTTTCAGACTGTCATGTCAAAAGTGGTTGGTATTTCTTCGCTTTCTTAGTTAGAAGTAAACACTTTCTGATGATTTAGTTCAGTGGAAAGCCAAAAGTTTAACTTACAGGGTAGTTAATTGTCATTATTTCAGAGGAAGGTATGGGCCAAGTGGGAGGATGTTTCCATTATTGAGAGGGATATGTTATGGTAGTTTTAAAAAGAGGATGCCCTCAGATGGAGGAAAGACGGTGACATGATGTTTGAGAAGTTCTTTTAATGAGCTCTCCCAAGAGGTCTGGCCTCCTTTGGATTATGAACGATAGGTGAGTTCTGAGTGAGAGCAGTGTGTTCCTGAGCAGGTCTTGATAGGATGGATCAATTTGTATTGAGGGGTGGTGTTGTAAGTCTATCAGTGTATGTAAAATATATTCTTAGTTATGTTTTAAGAAAGTTTTTTGTTAGAGAAATTTTCAAATGTTCAGAAGTAGAGAGAATGGTATAAGGAACCTGATGTAGCCATTACACAACTCCATCAGTTATCAATATGTGGACAAGCTCTTTTGATCTGTATTCTCCCCTCCCCACAATTCCCTTCTCCATCCTCCAACTGCTCCCCTACTCTCTACTGTTTGAAAGCAAATTTCAGACATCATAGGTAGAAGGATATTTTAAGGGGCTTATTTTAAGGTAGGAGAGACTCTTAAAAAAGTAGGTGTTTTATTCTGGGAAGTGTGTTCTTGGAAGGATGTAAAGAAAGGTGTTAACTTCTGAGCGTTTGTGTTTTTTGGCTGGAGAGAGATGCTGTTTTTTTCCTGAATGGTCATGTAACCTGATCTTGGGAGGGATGTTAGAAAATGTAAGAGGAAATTTTATAAAATACTAACATATGAAGTTTTTTCAGAAATGAGAGTATGTTTTCATGAAGAAAGAAAAGTTCCTTACAAGGGGACCTACACAGATGTGTATACCAAATGAATGTGTCCACTCATAACTGAACTAACCCTGGGGTTATTTTGAATGGTATCTCAGGATGTGTATGTAGTCTGGTGGTACCAGTGATGGTTATGGGTAACAAAATTTTGCTCTAGCTTTGAAATCAGATGTTGTTATGTGGAAGTGGAAGTTAGTGTATTACAGGAAGTTTTCTGGAGCATGTATCTAAATGAGGAAAGGGGGCTCTAAGGAGAAGTTTCCATTTTTTTCCCCCATATTTCTCCCTTATTCATTACTCTTTTTTTCATTCTTCCTTTCTAGAATTCTTGTCACTTAGAGAGCCAGGCCTTCGAGCTGTTTAGTTCTTTAAAATTGTATAACTTCTACCCTATCTTCTGTAGTTGTTATTTTTTATAATCAGTTATTGGTTGTTACAGTGTATAAATACTGGAAAGAACATCTAACCTAAATAAATGATATCATCAGTCTACTTACAAACTTCTACTGTTGTTTCTCTAAGGGGTTGCATTCTACTTCTCTTAGACTTTGGAAAAGATTTTTCAGTTTTTGGTGTCAGGAAGGCAGTTGATTTGTAGATTATGATGATGATGGTGCTAGAACATTTATTGAGCTTTTACTATATTCCAGGCTCTGATTTAACCAGGTACCTGCATTAGCTAATTTAATCCTCACACAACCCTATGATTTGGGTACTTTTATTATTTGCATTTTAGAGATGAGAACAGAGAAATCAGAGAGTGTAATTTGCCCTAGTGGTATCTAGTTATCGGTAGAAAAAGAATTTCAGCGCAATCAGTCCAGGTCTGGAGTCTTCTGTTCTTAACCACTGCAGTTAGTGCCAATGTCAGATATTCCCAAAATGAGTTGTATTTGTGTGTATGTTCTTAAAAATACCTCAGAGTTTCTCTTAAAATTGGGAAAATTTTGCTTAATGGAATGATTTGGTCCTGAGACATAGTTCCTCCCCTTTGTGTACACTGAACTTTAAGAGTTGAAACCAAAATGAGAATCTAAGGCTGTGTCTCTACACATAGCCTAGCAGGCTTTATCAGACAGCTAAATGCTGTCCAAGCCTGGGCCCTGAAGCAGTAGCAGCACACATTACTGCAGTAACCCTCCTTATCTTCTCACACTGAGCAGATGATGGTAAAATATCATCTGGGTTAAGACGGTAAAACATTATAACATATTGAAAAAAAAGAGGTAATTAAAATGACCAGTTTTTCTCCACCACAACTATCTCTTTATTTGATATCTGATGGGAAACTTCAGTTTTCCTTTTCAGTTACCTTGTTTCTTATTACCATAATCTTATTTATATTATATGTTTATACTGCTACTCTGGGAATTTTGGAAAGCAGGGATGATATAGACCTCTGTATATGAAAATTTTTACTTTTACAATGGGAATATTATTTTTATTTATTATAAAAATGCTTACTTTCTAAAGTGCACACTTCCAAAAGCCCAGGCTAGTGAAGTGTGAGGCAGAAAGTGAAAATCACCCCTATAAGCCCACCCCGATGGAAAGAACCATTGTTAAATTTCGTTGGTATCCCATCAGACTTTCTGTGTTTATATTAGCATTTATACATAGACACACACATATGTTAAATTTATTTCTTTCTGTAGCTACTGAAATATATATTAATATAATTGAGGTCACATTCTATAACCTGTTTTTGTTGCTTAGCAATGTAGTATTGACATCCTTTGTTGTCAGTACATGTAGACCTAGCTCATGCTGTGTAAGAGCCGTGAGAGATTCTGTTGTATGGATATTTCATAGTTTATTTAGTCTGGTTCCTTTTGAGAGACTTCTAAGTTGTTTGAAATTTTTCTCAATTATTTACAGTACTGCAGAGAGCTGCAGTGAACTTCTTATACATCTGTCGTTGTGCACTTGACCAGTTCTTTCCTTAGGCAGTGGTTTTTGAGTTTTGCTCTCTTAATTGCCCAGAGAGCTGTACTAGATTGTCCAGAGAGTTTTGGAATGGTTTATGAGGTGTGGCTAGGTTATCATTGCCCTAGAATTTTGGTTAAATGTAGTGGTTCCTCTTCAAGGGGAAAAAAAGGCAAACATGACTAATATGTACTAACTAACACCAAAATAGTAAGATCTTTGCATTTGAACTTAATGCATAGTCTCAGTAGCCTTAATTTCACCTTGAATTGAGAAAAATTTTAGTTACATTTTTCCCATTATTTCATTTTGCCTTACAAAGATAATGGTGGAGTATATACAAAAAAGTGTGATTGTCATTAACATGATTATAGCAAACCATTGTTTTACTTCAATAGTAAATGATTTAAATAAATAACCCTTTTTTTGTGGGGATTGGGTTGGGTGTTTGTCTTCCATGTAGTTTATATCCTGGAACCTGGAGATGCTCCTTTGTTACAGCAACCACTACAGACATCCAAATCTGGTATTCAGCAAATAATTGAGTGCTTTCGATCAGGTATGAATGTTTTAGGATGTATTTTCAATCTTCACATAGTAGCTAAAAACTACCTAGAAATCCTTAGAAATAATTTTTTAAAAATAAAATGTATACATTGGTTTTCTTTACAGAATACTTTTAATTGTCATTTTTAAAAAGTGGATGAGTAAATATTGACTTGATAGAGATTCCTTTTCAGTACTATATATTATATACTAATTTAAAAAGTATTTAGTATGGTTTAAAGAAATATGTGGTATATTTGCTGGCAAAGATTCATTGTTATTTTTTGGCATGTTCTTTATAAACTCTCAAAGGACGGTAGTAGATTATACAGGGTCTTTATGAGCTTTGACAGAGTAGATTATTTACTCGGAATGTCTGAGATGTCCCTTGTTCTAGATTAATTACTTTATCATCTCTGTTTATGTGACTCACCATCTCCTACCTAACCCTGGAGTTTCAATATCTTTAGTAGAGCACAGATAGAAAAAAGATTATTCCAGCCCTGATATTTAGATATATTTGTTTAGCTTTTCTTTCCATTAGATTACTATAATAATGGATATATAATAAGTATATTTGTGCAGTTACAATCCAGTGCTCTAAAGTAGGTGTTGCTCACTAAGTATAAATGGTTGAGAACTGTTAGAACTACAGTGTTCTGTAAAGTCTTAGGTTGCTGTGATTCTTATGATCCACTTGTCCACTTCTTGTGGATTTGGCTTCTCTGACATTGCAGGCTATTAAATCAAATATGAACAAGCAAACATACATGACTGATGGACACCTAAGTGGTGGGCAATTAAAGGGTTAGAATATCTTTTGTTATTATTTTAAAGCTTATTATATCGTAATGAAAAATTTCTGAGATTCAAAGAAAAAGATAATTTATATGAAACCATTTGTTTTGTATTGAGAAATTTTTTGAGGTGCTTGTTTTTAAATCATTTAAAAGGGAAGTAGTATCTATTTGATTTACTTTAGGATTCTAAGAAGTAGATTGTTCTTTAATCTAAAATAAAGTTAATTTGAGTCTAAGATTCATTTCTTACACTTGTCATCTGTAGTCCTTATGGCATTGCTTTTATGTATATTTAAATCAGTAAGTATTTCGTGTATACCATATGCCTATGCTTAATGTTGGATGGTGGTATAACGTATTTTACTGTGTTTTTTGTTGTTTTTTACTTTTGATAATTGACCTTGGTAAACAGAAATAAATAATACGTCAAATTCTCCTGTGGTAAATACAATTAAAATTTTTCTAATTAGAGGCAGTATTTAAATACGTTTCTGGCATAACAGAAGAATGGTTAGTTTTTATTTGTAGTTAGAGTTTCTGTTAGCTACTTTTAGTATAGATATATAAATTCTTTTTGTTCTTTCTCATATCATGGAAATGAAGGTAATAGCTTCACACTTAGTCATATTCCTTGCTATAGGTTTCTTTTTTAAAAATTCATAATTTGGGATTTACGAAGTTATTTTATACTGCTTCAGTTTATTATAGTGTTATTTGATTAGGAAGTTAGAATTGTTTCATTTACTTGTGCTTTGTCTTGTAAAAAATACCTTCTCAACAAGCTCCTGTACCCAAAATCTATATATTTTTTTGACTTTGGAAGGTGAATATTTAAAAAGGAAATTATGTGTTTTTTCATTGCACTGTGGTTGTATCTGTTTTCTGTGTTTACTCTTTCTTTACAAAGCTGAAGGAAAGGGACTGTGAAATGGGTAATATGTTCTTTCTTAAATGTCCCTGGTAAATTTGCCTTCTGAGTTTTTTTTTTCCCCCAAGCAAATTTTGAAAATACTATAATTTAAATTCTCTAAGTACCCTATCATTTAAATTAGAGATGATTTAGAAATATTGCTGAATGGTACAAAGAAACTAATTTTGGATTAAAAAAGGAATTCTTTTACTTCATTAGTGTATCTCATAGCTCAGTAATTCTGATTTCCTCAAGATAGTAATCTCTTAACGTATCTGGATAATCTCAAGTCTCCTAAGGTAGCTCTTCTTTAGCACTGAGGTATTTAAGCCTTGGCTGACTGAAACCTTGAGAGGATGAGCTGGAAGTTTGGGCCTCATGACTTAGGGTCTAAGATCCCTTCTCATCCTGAGACTCGTGTAAGTTTCTCCCGGTCTCACTCTACTCCCAAGCAGCCCCTCAATGACTCATCTCTTTCTAGGCTCTTTCCATTACAGCTGGGTCACACACATTGCATTTAAAGAACAGTCTTGGTGGTGTTTTGTATCTGACAGGTATTTGAAGATAGAACTTTGAAGTCTATGCTTTTGCTCTTGTTAACCTTCAGAGGCTAAACCAGGTTGGGCAGTAGTAATGTGTTAGGATATCTGCCTTTGTCTTCAAGCTCAAGATAGTTGTCTTCAGCTCCGGTATCAGCTTTGCTTAAGGGATTCATGGTCTCCTGCCTAAACTGGGCTCTCTTTGGCCTGGTATTAATTCCTACCCAAGCTGGAAGTTTGTAAAAGGCTGAGGAAAGAGTTGAGTCATATTTTAGGTCTACCAACCCCATGTGTGCTGTACTGACTGCTTGACCAGTTTTGACTCACTTTCTTTGCTTCACACTTCAGCTTTTGCTTTGGACTGTTTTCCTGGCTTTAAATTACAAATACTTCTCAACCTCTAATCTCTCTTTATTTCTATCTGCTTAACTTATAATCTGAATAGACTTTTCTTTTTGGAATAAGTGGTTTAAAAAAATAATAAAGAGGTATAAAAGGGTATACAGAAATACAAAAGTGTCTTTGTTCAGACAGCACAGCTACATGGTTTGTGTCTTCTTCTAGAGACCTTCTACGCACATATGAGCATATATTCCTCACTTTCTTCCTAATACAAGGAGTAGCTGACTCTGCATAGTTAGGTATCTTTGGTTTTTTAACAGTACTTTCCACTGTTGTTTGACATCTGTCCATAGATAGATAACCTCATTTTTTTTTAGAAGGCTGCCTGTTTTGCCCCTACCTGCAGATTTTCTACTCTGAAATCCCTGATGGTTGGGTGACTTGAGACATGCTATTTGCTTTGAATCCTGGCGTCAGGTACTACCTTGACTGTGCCCTGCCCTTTGCTCGAGCCTTTCCTTAGTTGTGTCAGTCCTTCCAGGATCATGTCTGTGACTTTTTGTCTTCAAATTTCCCTCGTATCTATTAACTCTTTTAAAGAAATAGTTGATTTACAATGTTGTGTTAGTTTCTGGTGTACAGCAAAGTGATTCAGTTATATGTATATATTAATTCTTTTTCATATTCTTTTCCATTTTAATTTATCATCAGATACTGAATATAGTTCCCTGTGCTATACAATAGGATCTTGTTGTTTATCTGTCCTCTATATATTAGTTTGTATCTGCTAGTCCCAAACTCCCAATCCAACCCTCCCTCTGTTAACTTTTATATTAGCTTCCTTCTTTTCCCAACCTCTCTCCCCAAACGGAAACAAAATTTTAAATAACAAAAAAGGTGTACTTGCATGAGGTATTTATAAATAATTGATTAATTGAGCTTAATATTCTTTCTTAGTCGCTTAGTCTTCTGGTAGAGGCAAAGGAGCTGTGGAGTGCCCTAAGTTTCGAAGCAGAAAAATGGGAAATTGTCCAGTATTCATAACTGGTCTTTAATATGAAGTTGACATCTTTTTTTGAATTCTTGAAATATATATTATCTCTTTTTACAGTATTATACTGCTGATTCTTCAACATTCACCATGGGTGTGAACTGTGCAGGTCTCTTTTTTGCGGAGTTTTTCAGTAGTAAATATTAGAGTATCAGATGATCCTTGGTTGATTGAATCCAAGGATGCAGAAGTGAGGATATGGAGGAAGGGAGTATAAGGAGGACTGTAGGTTTTATGCAGATTTTTGACTGTGCAGAGTGTTGGCATCCCTAACCCCTGTGTTTGTTCAAGAGTCAACTGTATTATAGAAAAAAGATTCTACCTATAGAACACATTACTACTATTTGCAAGTAGCATCTTTTTTGAATCTTAGGGAGGAATAAATTGCAGTGAAAAATGAGAATTGGCTTTGTGTGATGTTTGCTGTTGTCATTAATTAAATTTAAGTTTGGTCATTTACTTTCTTAGAAGAGTTTTTGTTTATTTTTTATTGCTTAAAGCAACATTTCTTGGAGTTAGTGTAAGCTATGACTGGATGGTGATGCCTCTGTCCTGGAAGTGTGATTTATCAGAGATACATAAGATAGTGCCATATTATATGATGGATTTTTTTGTTTTTTTTTGTTTTGGTTGATACATAGCAACTGTAGGAAGTTTTAAATCAGACTGCATATTTTGGGGATGAATAAGAAAAATGTAGATTTGTTTTATTTGTTGTTCTTACATTCATCTTCAAAGCATCTCATCTGGGGCTGTGTTCCTAGGAGAGCAGCCATTTATATTAGGGAATTTCTCAAGGGCGCAGATCATATCCTTCACTTCTCATGTCTTCAGTGAATAACATTGTACCTTGTATTTAATAGGTGTTCAATAAATGTGTGTAAGACTAAACGAAAGATTCACCAAGTAGGCACTAAAATAATTTTATTCTACTTATAAATTTATTGTAGTATGTGGCAGTATTCCATAATTAATCTAGTAATTTTTTTTTTAACCAGCCTTTGTAGGTGGTGGTTTTGAGATAACAATTTCAATTTTCCTAAGTTTTCTTACGTTAAGGATGATCAGTACGAAATTCCCTTCGTACTGGTCTTGGCACTCAGGAGGTATGACATGAGTTACAGATTTGCTTGCAGTGTTGGGATGATATTGTGGTTAAACAGTCATCCTAAAGAAACTGAGCTCATGTGTGAGTCAACAATAAAGCATGCAGTATACTATTTAAAAATCATTATTGCTGCAACTTGTCATTGATCAACATATCAGTATATTAAGGGAGAAAAGGAAAGTTTATCTTTGTCTAGCACTGAAGAGTTAGAATTAATATTATGTCATGTCAACTGACTGCCACCGAACCTAATGTAAAATTGA